ACTTCAAGCTCAACCTCTGTAGCATGATAATAAAGACTTAGACTCATTTGCTCCTCTTGCTTCTTCAAGATATTTGGTATTACAAACTCTTTTAACTGTTCTATTACTGGTCCAAAAATAGCATTTGCCATATTTTGATGTCCTATTTGTGATATCGTTTGCTTCCAATTTACAAACTCACAATAATCACTCTCCTCTTGATACCTTTCTTCTAAGGTATCAAACAATTCGCATAGTGAAATATTAGAGTTCCTAAGAAGCATTTTCAACGTCGAATTTTCACTTTTATTATAAGAGGTTGATTATGTATCAGCAGTGAAATATCTGTTTGTGAACGTGCGAGCCCATGATTGAGGATTATTTCCTAAGAAACGAATTAAATAGTCCTTTGATTTTGGGTAGTTTTATAATAACATTTTCCACCTCTCATTAAATTGCTTTTCCGTTAAGCTATTTCTTATTTTAAAAAAATCCTTTATAAAGTCACTAAAACTAGAACCAAGCTCTCCTTTTAGTCGTTTGGGTAAATTCTGACATATATGCCATATACAGTATATATGATAAGTATTGAGAAATTCTATCATGACTGCACCATTAACTGCTAGATCGCCATCCGTAACAAATACCTTCAGAGGTATACTGGTTGCTTCCTTCACACATCGAAAGACCCACTCATATGAAAGTTGAGTTTCATCGTCAACAATTGCTTAAGCCACAATTCACGTTTTCAAATTGTTATCGGAGGTGACAAAGAAGGACAAAGGACGATCATAGCGATTGGTTTTACAAGTGTTATCATACATTATTACGTTATGGTAGCGTAACTATAAAATGTGTTGTTTGGGACTCATCCAAAAAAGATGAGTTAAAGAAGAAGTATCCGGATCAAGCTTCATTGAAATTACCCAATGTGGGTCCTCCATTTTTTTGCTATAAAGTCTTTTTAGTAAAATCCCTGTATCTGCTTCACCTGGTGCCATTTCACAATGAAACTTGCTTATGGCATTATAAAGATCTTGTCAGATAATTCTAATATTGAACTTTTCTCTAATAACTCTATATT